CACTTTGCATTAGTTGCATTTACACGTTTTCCTTTTTGTTTTTTCATATAGATGATTTTTGTTAGGTTTGCATGATTGCATATGACATATAGATATAGGTTCATATAGGTTCACGTGCATACCTCGGACACCCGTTTTGAACATCATTTGGAGGATTTGTGGAATGATAGAGTAGGAACATCTTGATGATCTAGTGACTTTGTAGAGCGTGGTTGAACCGTGTCGAATTGATAGTTCTCCAGACTTTCTATATATAGTTTGTGGGATGAGGTTGTTGTTTGGAACCTACGGAATTGAAACGACTATATCCAGGTTATATGTTTCGTTTAGAATTTTTTCCGAGTCTTGCAGATCGATGAAATCTAGTTCCGCATCTCGGGTTTCTAGGACGTTGAAGTTGAAGGACATCGGTTTTCTCTCTTTTTTTTTTCTTTCTTTTCCTTTTTTTTTTTTACTTTTGATGCGATGTCCGACCTACAACTTAGACCCGAACCATCAATCGATGCACTCATGTCCTCGAACGATTTTCGTTAACGAGATTTTGACAGCGGAGTGTCGAGATGCTCTATTTTTCCAAGGCATTTGTTGAACTAGATTTCATCGACCTGCAAGACTCGGAAAAGATTTTAAACGAAACATATAACCTGGATATAGTCGTTTCAATTCCGTAGGTTCCAAACAACAACCTCATCCCACAAACTATATATAGAAAGTCTGGAGAACTATCAATTCGACACGGTTCAACCACGCTCTACAAAGTCACTAGATCATCAAGATGTTCCTACTCTATCATTCCACAAATCCTCCAAATGATGTTCAAAACGGGTGTCCGAGGTATGCACGTGAACCTATATGAACCTATATCTATATGTCATATGCAATCATGCAAACCTAACAAAAATCATCTATATGAAAAAACAAAAAGGAAAACGTGTAAATGCAACTAATGCAAAGTGATATGCAAAAAAATGCAAAATTTTCCTAAGTCTATATGCTATGACAAAATGCACCTAAACTAAATGCAATCCTAAGTAGATAGGCCTGAATGGATGAAGGATCTATCCACCCCCCCAGACTTGAATCATACACCGTCCACGGTGTAGACTCTCCCTCAGAAGAATGGAATCGACAATAACGTATGAAAAGAACCAATAAGAGGGATAAAGAAGGCTTAGCTCTGCGAAATTCGTGCGCTCGCAATGAAGTTAAC